AAAAGTATAATACTGTGAACAAAAGACTTCAAAGACAATGTATTTTCATTTTTTTCTTGCAATACAGTTTTTAAATTTTGTGACTAATTTTTCATGTTCCATTATGTGCTTTTTAACGTCCCTCTTTTATTTTTGTTAGTTTATCTTTTACAGCAAAATTACCTTACAGCCAGTTAGTTGTGTGGTGAAAACACTTGCAGCAAAGATGTTTGTGGCAAACATGCTTACAGAGAAAATACTGGATGTGGTGGGCAGCTGAGACGATGAACTGAAATCTTCTATGTATCTCTAAGTATCTAGCACTGTGCTATTATTAATTATATTAATAATATTATTAATTAATTGTGTCCCCCCTCCTGTGTACCATTGGAGTGCAACTGACACCCCTTGTAGGTCTGGGGAGCTCAGACCCACCAATATTTGGGGCCCACCTTCCCTTCCCTTTCCTTGATCACCCCATTTGCTGGGCTGGCCAACCTGGAGTTGTGGTTCAGCTCCTGGGAGATGTCATCCACCATGTCATTCTCGGAGGCCTCATGAGCCATGGCTTTGCAGAGCTTACAGGCCACCAGGGCCTTGGCCATGGCCTCCTCGCCGTGCTGCCAGAAGAACAGGGCCATCTTCTGCCGCTTCATCAGGACGGCCCACACCATCAGCTCGTGGAAAGGGAAAGGAAAGTGATTGATCTCAGGGTCATCCAAGTCAATGTCCACCTCTTCTTCACGCTTCTTGGTTGTCTTTCTTCCTCGCCTTAAGGGAACATCGTCCTGTAATTTCGGGGGAAAAAACATAAAGCGGGGAAGGTTAGAAATGAACTAATTAAATTCAATATACTGTTATTGTATATTTACTACTTATTGGCCCCACTCTGGTAGATACATAAATGAACTACAGGCATACCTCATTTTATGGTGCTTCACAGATGTTATGATTTGTACAAACTGAAGGCAAGACCCTCCATTAGCAAAACGATTATGACTTGCTTTACGGCAGTGGTCTGGAACTGAACCTGCAATATCTCTGAGGTGTATGCCTGTATCCCAGCTCAGCTCCAGTTCTAAAGGAACTCAAGCTCATACCAGCTTAACTTTCAAACAAATGAGAATAGCATAAGCACAGTCCTATAGGAACATGTCATTGTTATGCTTTAATTAAAAAAAAGCCAAAACCCACTATGTTTTAATGGGCCATTTTCTTCTTTTTCCTGTTGTCTGTTTTGTTTTTTTTCCCCTCTGCAAGTAGGGTTATTTATACTTCATGATGGACAGCACTGCTGTTTGCCCTCAGAGGGCAAGGACATCCTATACTTGCATTTGCATGTAGAACAATAACCACATGAACAAAAGATGGGAAACATAATATATCTTGAGTTTCATTAGAGGAGTTTGTGAAGTATTTCTGGCCTTTGGATCTGTTGCCATTTGTAAACACCCATGGATAGATTTTGCTTACTGGAATTCATATGCTTCCTTGGTTTTCAAGTTAGTGTTTCAAATAGGAGTTATTTCCTTGTTTGCAAAGCTAACGTAACCTCATGGTGAAAATTTCAAAGCTATTGTGCCCTGACCCCTCCACACCGGGAAAAAGTTCACTTTCTTATTTTAGAATCATGTGCTAAGGTATACCACTGAAAAGAACTTACATATATTTTAAAAATATATAACAAAGAGAATAAATACTTGACACTCATAATTTGAGCACTCACCTCCATTCCCAGTAGTTTCAAGGCTTTGGGCTGTTAAAAAATTTATGCACAAAGTTAGATAATTCTTTACACAGATGAAAAAAGAATCCTAGTATATCTCAAATAGGTAATGAGACAACTCTACAGTACCATATACCACTTTATTCATTTCACTAAATAAAATACCACAAGAAGAGCCTATTTATAGAAATTCTGAGAGAATTAGGGATTTAGTGATTTTGGTGAATCACAGAAAATCAGGACACTGGAAAGCCCTAAGGAGATTGCCCAAGGGTAGAGCCTGCAGGTTTATCAACCCTTTTGTGGACCAGACTTTCTTCTAGGTTCCTAGAACTATCCTGCTTGGCATCTCCATGACATCAAGCACTTGAGTGAGCAATGAAACAGTCAATCAAACCATGAGATGTTTCTCAAACTTCTGAAAGACCTCTATGACCTGGAGACTTGGGATATTACTCAGAAATACATGTTTAGATGTATTCCTGGTAGCCATCTCTCTATGCTGCTGTTCAGTAGAGCAAGAGTGAGTGTAGCCAGAAGGGCATGTGCTGATGGTGGTACAAGGCACTCAGTGGCATAGGGAGTCTCAGTACATACAGAAGTATCATTGGTCAGGCTAGTAATGTGCAAAGTAGGCACAGACCGAGATGGAGAGAGGAGGCAAACTCAGCAAACTATAGAGCTTGATTTATATTTAACAGGGGAGATACAAAATTACATCTCAGGGGTCAGGAATTCCAATTCTATGTTTTAAGTATTACAGAATGGCTGGGTGCCAGTTCTCCAAATTTTATTTGACCATTCAAGTAGAAATAGCTTGAAACTTATCTTTCTCCCTTTCTTTTAGCCTCTATGATGACCGCCCATGTGAAATTTGTGATTTTGAAAAAATGTATACTTTGTGGTGTCTTCAAAGTTATCTTCCAGCACCACAAAATACTTTTCTCATCAGAAGATGAGCTCTGGTAAAAATAAAAATCGTGCCCACCACCAGCTAGAGTAGCAGTTCTCAAAATGTTGTCTGTGGACCATGTGACCCTTTCAACAAATCTTTCCTGAGACCCTTCCAGGGGTCTGTGAAGTCAAAGCTATTTTCATAATAATACCAAGATGTTACTGTATTAATATTTGCACTGATGGGTACCTTAGCAAGAATGAAGGCGGTGGTACCAAACTTTACTAGTAGTTGTCATTAGACTCCATTGTTACACACTTGAAGTTAAAAAAAGAACAAAACAAAGCAGTTTCACTTAAGAATGTCCTTGATAAGACCTAAAAAATTATTAACTTTATCAAATCTCTATCCTTGCTAGTAAAAAATGTCTTTTTACCATTCTGAGGGATGAAATGGAATGTATGCAATAAAGAACTTCTGCTATATACTGAACTATAATGGGTTATCCTCAGGAAAAACACTTATGGGATTATTTGGACTGAATTATGGCCATGTTGTTTTGTGGACTATCTACTTGGTGGAACAACTACAGACAACTGTGGTTATTTAGATTTGGATATTTGGCAGACATGTTGGAGATGAACAAAGTAGGACTGTCCTTTCAAGGACAACAACTGACAGTATTGGTTAACAAAATTCAATGACAAAACTCAAACTTTCAAGCAAAAATTAGAATCTTGGAAAACTTGTCTTCTATCACCCCTTGACCCTGACAGTTTTTTAGTACCTAAAGACTTTTCTAATGAGATTGGAGGTGGTATTAACGAATGCAAGTTTTTGAAACTGTATAATGAAATATGTCAACAATCACATCTGCATAACTCAACAAACCAATATTTTACAATGACCAATCTATGATGTTACAAGATCCGTACAAAGTACAGGATAGACCAATGGATTTCAATGTAACAGAGTATGAACTGTTCATTGACATCATTTCAGATTTTATGTTGCAACAAATCTTCAAGAAATTGCCACTTGTTGAATATTGATGTAGTATCAAAAAGTAATATCTACAATCACTGTAAAGGTTGTTAAAATACTCCTTCCTTTGATTAATTTGCCATCTTTGTCACACATCTGTGTGAGGTCAAATTTTCTTCATATATTTCAACCAAAACATCTTGCAATAGATTTGAGTACAGAAGTAGACATGACAATCTAGCTGTCTTCTACTAAGCCATACATTACAGAAATTTGCAGAAAAATAAAAAAATATAAAACAATGCTATTCACTAATTTTTGTTTATAAAACATATTTGTTTTTCATATACATGGTATCTATGATAACACGTAATAAATGGGCTACTTATGGCTATCTTAAAATGAATTAATAAATATTTTTTAAAGTCTCAATTTTAATTTCCAATATGATAAATATTGATAGAACTCACATAGGTAAAAACTTTTTAGAGTCTTCAATAATTTTTAAATGTATAAATAGCTCTCAAGACCAAAAACCTTGAAAATTGCTGACGTAGATAATAATTTGAATTTCATTGCTATTCTCTGATCATTAAAGCTCACTCTCACGGCCAGTGTCTGATCTGAATTGGACCTAGTGAGGATAAGAAAGGAGTGGAGCGCCCAATGCATATCTTTTCTTTTCTTTTTTTCTTATTTTTCAAGGGATTTGATGGTGGAGGGAAGAAGCGGTGGGGCAGTCGCCTTCTCATCTGATCTCCCACTTGGAAAGAAGGAAGCCACACCCCAAGTTTGTCACACCCTATTCCTACCCAGAGTCCAGGAAATGGAATTTGCTGCAAGCCTCACCCTCTTGGGGCCAAAGAGATTGTGGTAGAGTGTCCGGAAGCGCTTGCGCGTGTAGTTGCAACGATAAGCACCGCCCATCAGGTACTCGATCACCAGGCCGATGTCAATCAGGCTGATTCTGTAGTCTGGGGGCAGGTTCCCCTATCAGGGAAAAACAACACAAACAAACAAATCCAAAAGACAGCGTGATTTACTAGGGATTCTATTCCGTGTGTTCTGTAACTATTTTAGAGTAAAAAAATATAATTAAAAAAAGAAACATATGAATGTATTATTATGCTGGTTAATTAATTCACCTTAAAATAGATCCAACCGAAACCTGGATATTCTCGCTTGGAAAGAAGACATAAGTTAAATAAGAAGATGCAGTAATCGTCGGCAATAACAGAAAATCAAAATATTTATTCAAGTCTTCAGCTGGGGAGAAAAAAACACCAGGGTAGCAGAAAGAAACACAAGGCTAGACATGGCAAATGCTATCGCTCCCAGACACTAGGAACTCGGTTCCCCAGATGTCCCTGGGGGTCCCCCTCGCCGCCCTGTCGCTGACCCAGGCCTGATGCTGCCCTCTTGCTGATCATTTATTTCTTCACACTCACTAAACGAAGACTCCTTCTAGAAGGTGATTGTTATTACCAGAGCCTGTGGGATATGCTTAGAGCTCAGATCTCCTTTAATACCAAGTCTCCCCTAACAATGAAAATTTGGCACTTTTTCATAAAGGGAGCGCAGGATGGATGTCAGGGTGAAGTCACTTATGAACATCCCTTGTGATGAAAGGGAAAGCAGGGAGGAATAACCTTATATTTTTAATTGTTTTATTTATCTTTGTATTCCCAGTGCCTTTTATAATGCCTGGGCATGATAGGCATTCAAAATGATTTTTCTGTTGAAAATGTGAATGAGTAAAACAGCAACTGATGTGGTTGGGATAAAGGCTCAGTTTGGGTTTTTATTAGTATTATATTCTCAGCAACAGTACTAACTAGCCATAGTCAATGAGTCGTTCCTGTTTGGGACAGCCTCAGTTTACTGCAGAAATTTTACTTGAAAAATGTGTATTGCTGTATCCGTATTCTCAATGGATAGAAATAAATGGATAGCAACTGATGCACCAAGCCCATGTGTACCAGTGGGCTGGGGCATCCGGACACTTCAACTTCCTTGCTGCCCCTACACTTAGTTTTCAGCCCACCCATTGGGTTGGGGCACAAGGCAGTCTTGGGGACCTAATTTGAGTGGGCTGAGCAAAATGGGACTGTGTGAAGTGTGTCATACATGAAGTGGAAGCACTTTGAGACATAGAATCCCTCTGATCCTTGCCCTTGGCCCATCAGAACCCAATCTGAAATCCATTTCATCAAGCTGAATTGTCCCTTCCCATAAATGGTCTCTCCTCTCCTCTCCATCTTTCTCAGAATTTTGGAATCTCTTTTGTTTGAAGATTATCTCATCAATCTAATCACCAAATTAAGCCATCCTCAGGCTATCAAGAAAGCCCAATTGTCTGACTTCTTTATGCGAAGCCTGGACAAAATATTAAAAAGGGAACTGAGAGATGGTTTTACTTTAAGATTGTAACTTTTTAGGTATTGCCCTTTCCATAAACATTAAATTGAATTTGAAAATATTACCCATGCAACCACTTTTCTGCATTTTTTGGGGACAGGTTAACAAGGCTACAGTTTCTGTATGGTCTGGCTCTAAAAGATGGTTGAGCAAGCCTGTTACTTTAAGAGTAGAGGAGCCCCAGAGCCTGGACACATGTGGGTCAGCTTCATCTCACATGCATTTGGCTCCCATAGGATGACCCCCAGAGAAGGCCCCCCTAATCTCTGTTATCCTCTGTCCCTGGCACTGTGAGGGAGGCAGGGTAGGGAACACAGCTATGAGTGAACTGCCCTGGGCTTCTGTCTATCCTTCACATATCAGCCACTTTCCCTCAAGGCATCAGTGCTCTTGTAGGAAAAAGGGTTGCACTTCATGGCCTCTATGGTCTGTAATGCTCAAGTACCAGGTTTCGGAAAAATCCCCAAAGGATTTATTGTGATGCTATTGAAAGGCAATCATGGCAAGTCTATGAATTTGTGCCTATTTTTAACCCTGTAATGATTTTGTATATTTAAAATGTGGGTAATAGTGAGCCTAGCACATATATATATATATATATATATATATATATATATTTGAGAAACCTATGTGTAAGCATTGATTTGAATTCTAAGAAAAAGAACCAATGTTTCCTGAAGACTAATACTGAGTGGCAATATTGATACATTTGAGGTGTCTGTAAGAGTGGGGGTTGCCTGGAAAGTGATACTAGTAAAATTCAAAACGAATAAAAATTTAAGAGGAGCAAATAAAACATTTTTTGCAAATGAGATTATTCATAAAGGGCTATTAGGTTTATAGACTACCAAAGAAGGTGCTGGAATCTTCTTTTTCTAGAACCTTCTAATATAAACCTTGATTATTTCAGAGTGATTTACATATATATGAATGATCTGATCTGAAGCAGGAAAAAGGATTCTGGGACTATCCTGGTTTCTCCCAGCTTTCAGTGAAGGCCAGAAAGGAACTAGCCTGCATTCTGTTTGACCACAAGGGAGTGATGTTCACGTAACTGAAGCCAATGAGAGTTCCACCCTTACCAGCGTTTACCTGCTTGTTCTATTTATGTAATAAGGAGACCTAAATGAACACAGAGCAGATTGGAGGATTTGGGGATAAGGAGAGAATCAGATGCTTTTGTTGAAGTGACATCCGGAGGAGGGAAAGCTTATTTTACCAAGTAATGTGTTTGAATTCAGTCTGCAAGCCTGGTTACAGCTGTTTCTTTCCAGAGTCTTTTGCTAACAGAGACATTAAGGGAAGTTAGTTTCACAATTTTTACTAGGAAGAGGGGAAACCTTTTGGGGAAGAAGAAATAGATTTCATAAAGTGAATAAAACTGGATACAATTGAGTCCCCTTGCGATTACTGTGTCCTGGGTGAACTCTGAAAGGGATGGCAGCATGGGAGTCTGTGTGAGGGGCTGGGCTGATGGCCTAGACCACCTGTGACCTGCGGATGTCACAGATGTACAGAGAACAGCCAGACGTAGGACCCCACGGTGGAAACAGCACTAGGCTGGGCTGTGGTCCTGGTTCTGTCCCACGTGACCCTGGACAGATCACATCCTTTCTCTCTACCACAGTTTACACTTTGAAAACAGGCAGTTTGGACACACTTATATCTAAGGTCTTATCTACATCAAAAGGTCCAATTGTCTGACCACTACCTGGCAGGCTGCTCTTCTTTGCTGCCAGGTCACTTGGAAAAGACCCTTGCCCAGAGCTTTCAGAGTTGATGTAAGTTTTATGAATTCCCTGAAGTTTGGTTAGTGGAGCTGGGGGCTCAGAGACAAGGGTTGGTAAAAGGGATCGATGGGGATGGGGTTGTGCTCATCACATACACCCCCCCTGGACAAAGCAGAGAAAGTGATGGCACCTCATACACCACAAGTAATGTCCAAAAACCTTCTGGAGGAGTCTTCCTTTGCTTGGGTCCTTTTTAAATAAGAAATCAACAAGAATACTAGAGTAACATTCCTGCTTGCTGTTTCTGTTATTCTCCCCTTGCCTTTTTGGTAATTACTTTGGTAATTGGTAAAGCCTGAACACTTAGTTCCCATTTAATGACTTAAGAACACATGACGAGCCACGTGATTTAAGTAATTTGATCCACAGAATAAATCAGAAGCTTGGGTCTATGGGTAGTTAAAATTTGACAATTTGAAAATGTTGTCTTCTTTTTTTCATGCTATGAACTACTACTTTGAAGCTAAAATTTAATCCATGCCATGCCTAAGGATGACTTATTTAAAAGAATAGTTTAAATTCACTTATTAGACCGTCTCTTCTAAATGCACTCTGTTTTTCAGATGCCAGCTTGTGATATAACTATCAGATTTCAGCAGTTAAGGACATACTTTTTTTTTTCCTGGAAATTTATAATAAGTTTTCAAAACGAGATTATTTCCTTCTGTGTATGTAAGGTGTAAAATGATAGCTGGTTGTCAAGTTTGCCAAGAAAGAGTGGGGAAAAGGCTATTCTGGTCAAAGTTTATGAAAAAAAGGACATTCCCCGAATCTTTGGCATGGTAGTAGACTGAGCAACCGATCTTTTAAAATATAAGAATACTTTTGTAAATTTGCATGAATTTAGTAGCTATTATGTATCTACTAAATACGTATTATGAAAATGTCCTTTCTTTACCCAAAGTGTGTCTGAAATGCTTTTTTGTTTTCATTATGCAAAGCTCTGGGTCTTGATTCTCATGTGAATGAATTTTAAACTATCATAATTTCACCACAACTTCTATATAATACTTAAATATCATCCTCCTTTGGTGGGGAGGGATCATGTAGGTAATCTGAAGAATTAGCACATTTAAGAAAAACTACTAATTTAAAACATACAGAGGCACAAATTGAGCAGACAGTTAGCTACTAAAATGACAAGTTAGATTTCACGAACAAGCAGACAGACTCAGAGTACTCTGGTTTAATAAGAGAGCATTGGAACATCCAATGGATTTATGCAGAAAACAGCTCAGGGAATTGGGTTGGCTTATATCACTTAAAGTTTCTGATTGATGCTGAATATCAACTCTTTATTTCATTGCCGCTAGATTGCTCCCTTGATAAAAATAATTTGAGAGTTTGAAACTAGCTTGGGAGCAATTCTTGTTCAGTTCTGTTATTTCAAAGGCTAGTTGGACTTGGAGATGTCATGCTGGTTAACTTTCGATGGTCTGATAATTCCTAAATGCATTCCCTGGGTTCGTAAGAGTTACTTACATATCAAATACAGACATATTATCAAACACTATATTTAATGTCCAGAACCGTCTTTGTAGCTTATGAACAGCATTTTGTACTGGGGCTTAACACTCACTGGTTAATTTTTTGCTACTTAGATTAAATCAGCTAATATGTACATAAAGTTCTATAATCACAAAGCACAAAGCACATGCTAATTATTATGTTCCTCAATTTTGAAAATTGCTTAAATTGTCCAAGATTTTCTTAGCATTTTAGACCTAGTGTTTTTTAGACTTTGAGTATCTTATTGGAAGACATCTGAAACCATCTAAGAAGATGTGCGCCAATATTAATTTATCTACCATTCACTTTTTAAAAACTCACAAATAAAATTACCCCTGATTTTAAGCTCCCTTATTGCATATAACATAAAATGCAGACATTTCCAGCTCATTTGGCCACCACTGCTATTTGTTCTTGCTCTCCATTAGTCAAATGTTCACCGTTATCACAGAAATAAATGGAGTCTGCATTTCCTGCTCCTATTTGTTCCCAAGGGAAGAAACTCAACATAGGCTTTCTTGTTCTCCGCACCATATTGGCAGTCCCTATTCCCAAATAAAAGGATAAATTGTTCCTAAGCCAGTTCAGCACTATCCTGGGTGATTTGTTACCATTCTTTTTCCAGTTACTAAATTCGTAAGTAAATGAACCCTTATGTAACTATATTCTTGTTCCGCTGTTTAAATCGCACTTAAAAGAAAAATAAAACTGCTTCTAACTAACATCCCTTCCTCTCCAATTCTTACCACCCTGTTCTTTCTTATGAGTTATTCTTTTTGAGACACATCTTTAGCTATGAAGTTAAAAAGAAAAAACTTGTACCTTAGAAACACCCTGCATGTCTTTTAATATAAGTGATGCGAGCGAATGTAAGAGGCAGCTAATGGGATTTCAGAAAAGAGAAAACGACATTGCAAAGCAGAGGAAGAAAACCTGACAGGAGAGATCTTGATCATTTATACTCAGTAAAATCTAACTGCAAAAACCCTTTGAAAATCAGACAAGGCATTGAGAACCTGAGTGATGGAGGTGGATGAGTGACTTTATTTGAAAGTTTGGATTGGCTGATGGCTGGGACTGAGGAACAAAGACACAGATGTCTCCTCAGAGAAACTCACAATCCCTTCAGTGACACAGAATAGCTTCAGGGAAGGGGGATGATATCTCATTATTTTGGAAAAACTCAAGACATTTTATCGAACATGAACAATAAATGTCTTGGCCAAGAATACACATTGGATGTGTACACTTAGTCTTCTGAGATACTTTGCCCTTTTTAGTTTCCAGGCAATTTTGAGCCAGGGTAAATGAAACAAAATTGGAAGACTTGAGGAAAAGAGAAATGGGTTTATTGAGGGCAGGTATGCTTCTGACTTGAAATGGGGCAGACCAAGGAAAGGTGAGGTCTTGGCAAAATGGTTGTTGGGTTGGATCTACACATCGCATAGCATCTGTCTCCCTGGCTTTGAAAGAACTACATGCTTCACTCACTCACACGGGTGAAAAAGGGCCAGAGGGTTAATAGGTACATTATAAGCAGTCCCAGGATCTTTGTTGGTTTTTTGAAGGAAAAATTAAAAAGGACACCTAAAGGTCAGTTCTGGCCAACAGAGCCCTATGACATGAAGGAATTGTACTCTATTTGTGACCTTACCTTGTAGCTTTCGTTATGTCCTATGGACTTGGGTGAAGAATTGCTATAAACGGGTAGGTGGGTATACCTGTGTGTGTGTATGCATGTGTGCGAGGTGGGAGAAGTGGCACCATCTATTTCGTCCTTTGGAGTTAAAGCATCGCTTTCTGGGAACACTGTCTAAGACTCAGAACCAAAGCTACCTCTGAAAAAGGCTGTGTGGGGCAAAGGAGCAAGCAGCGGGCTAAGTTTAAATGTAACCTCCCTGTGCCTCGCCCTTCTCATTGCTACATGGGAATAGCACTATATAATAACAAAATAATAATAATAAAATAAAAGTTTTAGTCCACAGAATTGTTGTAAAGATGAAATGAGCTAAGATACAGAGACAGCTTAGATTGTGTCATGCACCTAGTCATCACTAAATCTTAAGTATTGTTATGTTATTATTATTAATCAGGGGCTCTGAGTTCTAATCCTAGCTCTTCACTAACCACTTAATACCGTTCTCACCTCCTTGCATTTCAGCCCCCTCATCTGTAAAATGGGAGCAAATCTACCGGACCGAAACTTACTGGCTTCCCCCGACCCCCACATCGAATTAGGTAATGAATGTGAAAAAATATATTGGAAAAAATAAAGTGTTAGGAGAACGGAGTGCATATATGTGTTTGAGTCCCTGTTGTCCTGAGACTTGTTGAGCTACGTTTACTACACTCTGTGTCATGCTAGAAGTGACAGTGATACATTGCATCCAATGCTAGTCACTGAAGATACCTCTTATGGTCAGCTGGACAGCCTGGGAACTGACTCCCCAAACAGTGAGGGGCATATGGAAAAATACAAGTAATGGCATAAATCCACACAGCATGGGGAAAAGCCTAGAGTCCCACTATCCAAAAGCACTATGCCTGGTGAAAGCATTTAAAACCACAGAGACTGGAGATAAAACCACAGCTGCATCGTAAGCAGAAATGTCAGAGTTAAAAGACACACACACACACACACACACACACACACACACACACACACACACACACACACGATGTCCTGCAATGAGGGGTCTGGCAAAGACAGGAATACTCCGGCAGCTCATGCAATGCAAAACAGGTGCTTTCTAATCACAGGAAGCATTCACAACAGGGCCTCCGACCTGCAGTCGAGAGGGTTCTTACCTTTTTGACATCCCTGACCAAGTGGTACAATGTGTTTGAGGGCCCGTGTCTCTGAAAACAATAAAGAAGAATCAAATGGTTTTGCTAGTCAGGGGCTCTCGCTGGCAAGGCAGGAAGGATCTGGAAGGGAGGATCTGACTGGCGGAGGGGCCTTGTTGTATTTGCTCAGTCTTTTCTAAACACCTGGCAGAGGTTTGGATGGTGGTTGCTCAAGAAAAAGCATTTTGAGGTTCTAGGTTCAAACTTTATAAAGGAAGCCATCAACTCTTTTGACAGCTGGGCCAAAACATCATTTAAGGGGCTAGTTTTGAAGCAGGTCGGGGGGAGACAAAGGTGCCAATTTACCGCTTTGGAAATATACTTTGGCATATTGCCAATCGCAACTTGTTTATTACCCATAATGAATGAGAAACTAGCTAAAGCAGAGGTTGGCAAGCTTCTTCTGTAAATACCCAGATAGTCAACATTTTAGACTTTGTGGGCTATACAGTCTTTGCGGCAACTGTTTAACTCCTCCGTTGTATGAAAGCAGCTAGAGACAATACCTAAACAAATGAGCTTGCCTATATTTCAGTGAAACTTTATTTGTGAACACAAAAACTAAAATTTCATAATTTAATATGTCACAAAATATCATTCTTTTGATTTTTTTTCAACCATTGAAAAATGTAAAAGGTCATTCTTAGTCTTGCGGGCCATATAAAAACAGGCAGTCAGCTTGATTTGGTTGTTGGGTGGTAGTTTGCTAAATTCTGGTTTAAAGAAAAAGCCACAGGTAATTTGGGAAAAAGAGAGGCTTGGGAAAAAGATGTATGTTTGCTTAAGGTAAGAATAAAACAGAATTGTTTGCCACATAATTGTTTTTCAGGAATAGGAACGCTAGATAAAATATAGGATGCCCCGTTAAGTTTGAATTTCAGATGGACAATGAATAATTTCTCATATAAGTATGTCCCATGCAATATTTGGGACACACTTATACTAAAAATTATTGCTTATCTGAAATTCAAATTTAAATGGGGATCCTGTATTTTTATTTGCTAAATAAAATAATCGGAAGATCTCAAACAGTGATGACAAATCCTTAAAGACACATTCAAGGACAGACAGTCCCTGAGTGCTGCCTGCACTCCCTGCCTGTTCATGCAGAGATACTTATCAGAACTCTTTTTCCACGGAGGGATGCAGGATTGTGTAGGGATTAAGCATGCGGGCTCTGGAGTCAGAATGCCTGGCTCCAAGCATGGCTCGGCTTGGTACCAGCTGTGACCATGGGCAAGCTACTTAACTGTGACTCAGTAGTACCATCTCTAAAATGAGGATAACCATACCACTCATCTGATACGGTTGTTGGGAAGATTAAAAGATGAAACGTTTATAAAGCTACTAAAGGCGTGCTTAGCACTTAAAATACATTAGCTGTTATTATTACTGAGGCCATTCACTATACCATAGCCCTTATCAACAGGGCACTCCAGGAAAACACCACCAGTTGATTGGAGTGCTGAAATCTATTGGACTTTCTCCATCTAGAACGTTCCTACTTACTTCTTTCCAATTATTGGAATAAGTCACTCTACTTTCTTGGTTCTCTAAGTGATATGCAAGTCACTCAACTCCATGTTTTATTTTTTTATGTTACTAAAAACCCACTCTTCTTTTCTCCCCCAGACTTACTGAGATACACTTCACACATAACATTGTGTAAGTTTAAGGTATACAATGTGATGATTTGATACTTGTATATATTGTGAGATGTTTGTCACAAGGTTACACAGCACATCCTTCACCTCATATAATTACTATTTCATTGTTGTTATGGCAAGAACATTAGAGCTCTACTCTCATAGCAACTTTCAAGTATACAATACAGTATTGTTAAATAAAGTCTCCATGTTGTACTGTAGATCCCTGGAACTCACTCATAACTGAAAGCTTGTACCTTTTGGCCAATATCTCCCCATTTTCACCACCCCTCAACCCCCAATTTTTTGAGGAACTTCTACAGTGTTTTTGTTTGTTTGTTTGTTTTTTAATATTTGGCTCCCTTGTCAATTACTAGTTAGTTGACCAATATATGCACAGGTTTATTGCTGGGCTCTCAATTCTGATCCATGGGTCTATGTGTCTGTTTTTATGGCAACACCTTATGTTTTGATTACTACAGCTTTGTGTGAAATCAGCAAGTATGATGCTGCCATCATTGTTCTTCTTTCTCAAGGTTGTTTGGGCTATTCAGGATCTTTTGTGGTTTCAAATTTTAGATTGTTTTTTTCTGTTTCTGTGAAAAATGTCATTGGAATTTTAAAGGGATTATACTGAATCTACAGATGGCTTTGGGTAGTATGGACCCTTTAACAATATTAACACTTCTAATCCAAGAACATGTGATATCTTTCCATTTATTTGGGTCTTCTTCAATTTCTTTCATCAGTGTCTTATAGTTTTTGGCATATAGGTATTCATTTCTTTGGTTAAATTTATTCCTAAGTAATTTATTGTTTTTGATGCTATTGTAAATGGGATAGTTTTCTTTATTTCTTTTTCAGATAATTCATAGTTAGTGTGTAGAAATGAAACTGAATTTTGAATGTCGGTTTTGTATCCTGAAATTTTGCTGAATTCATTTAGTTCTAACAGTTTTTGGGTGGAGTCTATAGAATTTTCTATGTATAAGATTATGTTATCAGCCAACAGAGACAATTTTACTTACTCCTTTCCAAATTGGATGTCTTTTATTATTTCTTTTTCTTGTCTAATTGCTCTGGCTGAGACTTCAAGTAGTATATTAAATAGGAGTGGTGAGAGTGGGCACCTGTGTCTTTTCTCTGGCTGATCTCAGAGGGAAAGCTTTCAACCTTTCACTACTGAGTGTGGGTTTGTCATATATGGCTTTTTTATGTTGAGGTGTGTTCCTTCTATACACAATGTGCTGACAGTTTTTACCACGAAAGGGTATTAAATTTTGTCAAATGCTTTTTCTGTATCTATAGATGTGATTATATGATTTTATCATTCATTCTATTATCGTGATGTATCACATTTATCAATTTGTAACATGTTGAACCACCCTTGTATCTAGAAATGAATCTAACTCCATCATGGTGCATAATCTTTTTAATGTGCTGTTAAATTTGCTTTGTCAGTATTTTTTTTTTAAATAATTTTTCCGTCTATATCTATCAGGGATATTGGCCTATATTTTTCTTTTCTTGTAGTATCCTTATCTGGCTTTGGAATCAGGTTAATGTCGACCTCATAACAATGAATTTGGGAGTGTTCCCTCCTCTTCAATTTTTTTAAGAGTTGGAAAAGAGTTGGGGTTAATTCTTTAAATGTTTTGTAAAATTCACCTGTGAAGCCACCTGTTCTTGGGCTTTTCTTTGTTGGGAGGTTTTTGATTACCGGGGTGATCACATTGTAAGGTGATCAACCTCCTTACCTGTTATTAATATGATCACTTTTTCTGTGTCTTTATGATTCAGACTTGGTGGGTTGTATGTTTCTAGGGATGTATCCATTTCTTCTATGGCTAATTGTTTATCTTTTTGTGGGGGTAGAAGGTTAGGCCTCCTACTCCATCCACCATTATGGTCCATTATTCTTACTGAAAGTCTCAGTATGCTGAACAACAACAATGAAATCTGCAGTGAAAACAGAAACCTGGAGCCACTCTACTAATCTGTTTTCTACTTCCAGCAGTAGGAATAAGATAGAAACAGGGTGGTACCATCTAACACCTATCACTGGCTGGGAATAGGTCAATAAACTCCATCTCATCTGTCCCACAGTGGGTGGTAGGACAGAGAAGCATTGTGACAAATAAGGGGAAGCAGAATCTCTGAGACTAGCTTTGCTTCAGTATTAGCTTCATTCTTAGGAATTTTGTGACTGTGAATAAACCAATATACTCTTTGCCCTCAGTTTTCTTATCTGTAAAATGGGAGAGAGCAATATTTACATTTTAAACTTCACTGGATTTTAGTGAGAATCGGCTCAGAGCCAATGCGCTTAACTCATTGAATACTTTCGAAAACTTCATAAATAGTAGTTTTTCTTACGATTACTCCTTGGTATCCCTAGTAAGTGAATTAACAAATCATTACAAAACAACAAAAAATGTTTTTGGATAACTCCAAATGAGGTGTTTTACATTTTATTCCATTATAGTGGGAAAGGAATGAATTTTATAGCTCTGAGGATAACAAGATGGTGCAGGATAGTTAATCGGTCTCCTTTGATGCTTGGAGTTAAATCAATCCTCCTCTGCTGATTGCCTCAACACTTGCTGGGCTTACAAGTAAACTATATTCTAATTTCTAGAGCCTCATGGTTTAGTGTAAGAATCTGAGAGGGTTACCTTTTGGTGATCGCATAACTTTCTGCCTTAGATGCTGACAACTGAGCAGTTAAAACAAGTGGAATCTTGGTGTGTGTTGTCTACACACATCTAAGGAAGCATTTGTAAAAAATGATTCATGCATTTGGAGGGGAGAGGGGAGACTCACAGGCATGTGGGGAGCAGGAGAAGGTAAAACAAAAAATGTAAAGAAAACAAAAAGTGCCTTAGCTTGGTCCTACCGTATTGTACAATTCCTCTAGTCTGGAGATGGTGAGAAAACGGTGCATGCTTACTCCATTCTCTATGAGTAATTTCACAAAATCCACTCTGTCCAAAACTAGGGCATCCAACATGGCTTGCTCCAGAGACCCCACCTGCAAATCAAGTCACTGAGTTAGTCTGCCCCAGGGTCTAGAGATGCAGTTTTTGTCATTTATTGCAATAGTTTAGAAATGGATGCCTTTGACATCTGGTAAACATTCAGCACATTCAAGAACATGCAAGACTGTTTTCAACTCCACTTTTGGGACAGTCATAATCGCTCCTGTGTTTTGGGGCCTGTCTTTGCAAATGGAATTCAAGGATTTCTAGGTCCAAAATTTATTCCCCCCTTGAAAAAAACTCCCTCTCTCTCTCTCTCTCTCTCTCTCTCTCTCTCTCATTGTTGGGAAGGTACAACGGTTTACAAAGCTTTTCTTCTCCCAGCTCTCTGACCAACCTTCTGCAATAGCAGTGAAGTACTAAAGTGGGTACTTTGCTGTACTTGTTTTCATCTTCCTTAGACTCAGAATCAGACCCTGGCTGACTTGAGAAGAGGAGCCCTAGTAAGCAGATTAGAAAGTAGGCAGTTCCATTTATTTTTTTAACTTAAGTAATAGTACCTTGCTTTCGTTTCATCCATTTCTACCCAGAGACCTAGCAATTATTTAGGTCCTTTGGTCTGTATACTAGGGTTTTATTTATTCCTGTCACAAAAATTTCCCATTGTCCAGGCTCTTTGACAAATGTTTCCACACTAGCAATCCACTAGCTGCACTAAACGCATTCGGGGGCTCCATCCTAGGCAGAAGCTCTCTGGGGAAAAGGAAGGGTTAAAAAAGCTCTGTACATGAGATTGTTTTTCAGTGATTCCAGGCACAGAAATCAAATTTCAGGGTGCTGGCTGCCTCCTGGGGATACACGCATCCATCACCCAATGGCGAATTTTCCAGATTTTTATTTTTGGGAGAGTCAGTTGAGGGAAACAAACCAAGAACAGTTATATAAAGTGTTGGTTCCCTCTGTGTTGTTCTGGGAATAGGAAGGACCTGTGCTTAGCAACCAGGACCAGATGGCCCCTGCATGGGGATCCTGCTAATTCTGCATCCTGAGGTGTCCCAGCCACACACCAGCATGAGGTGACACCACTTGAAAGCAGCGACCTCAAAGACAACCAGAAACAAACTGCTAATTCCAATCCTTCCCTAATTTTAATTAATACAACTTTGTCATATATATACATGACATTTGAAGGAAATGGCATCATTTGCTGCTGAAAATTGCTATCAAGGGCCACTCAGAGAGATAGAAATGTTTGGAACGTTTTATTGAGTTGTGCTTAGTTGTATGTTCCACTAGGTGGCAGTGATTTCCTAAATTATTTCCATCCTAAAGAAAAGGAAGCCATTTCTGAGCTGGTCTCAGAGGCTCCTTAAACAAATACCCTTGCCCAAGCAAGTGGGCTTTTCAGAGATGATGACGTATACTCTACCGGCCACTGTTGCCCATAAATAAAGATCTGGCTGCGAGCGATGTCGACTCTGTTCCAGGCTAAAGCCAAGCTCAGTTGGTCTGGGGCCGAGGCATTGGCTCCTGTGTACAATAGACAAGTGGGAGAAAATGGGAGAGAGAAAATGATCAGTTATTGCACCAAGGTGATCCACTTTATCACTCCCATCAATACCCCTCTTCCTGAAGAGTAGACTCAGTTGTACAGCAGGGTTTCTGAAACTTGGCACTATTGGTATTTTGGGCAGGATTATCCTTTATTGTGGGGGATTTCCTGTAATTGTAGAATATTTAGCAGCATCTCTGGACTCAACCCATTAGATGCCAACAGCACCTCTGTTCAAAGTCATGACAATTATAAACACCTCCAGGCATTGCCAAATTCCCCCAGGGATGAAAGAAGACAAAATTAGCCATAAAGAACCACGGCTCGACAATCTTTTATTTTTATTTTTATTTTTTAGTTGATATACAATATTATATTAGTTTCAGGTGTACAGTATAGCGATTCAACATTTTTATACCTTACAATGTGATCACCCCAATAATTCTAGTAATCACCTGTCACTGTGCAAACTTATCACACAGTATTATTGACTATACGCCCCTTCCCCTTTTTCACTCATCCCCCCACCCTCTCCCTTCTGGTAACCATCCCTTTGGTCTCTGTTTCTGTAAGTCTGCCTTTGTTTTGTTCGTTCATTTTTTTTTTAGATTCCACATATAAGCGAAACCATATAGTATTTGTCTTTCTCTGCCTGACTTACTTCACTTAGTATAATACCCTCTAGATGCATCCATGTTGTCACAAATAGCAAGATTTCATTCTTTTTTCATTGCTGCATAATATTACATTACATACCACAGCCTTATCCATTCATCTGTGGATGGACACCCAGGTTGCTTCCATGTCTTGGCTATTGTAAATAATGCTGCGTTGAACATAGGGGTGCACATATCTTTTCAAATTAGTGTTTTCGTTTTCTTCGGATTAATGCCCAGAAGTGGAATTGCTGGGTCCTATGGTCATTCTAGTCTTAATTTTTTGAGGAACCTCCATACTGTTTTCCATAGTGGCTGCACCGATTTACAATCTCACCAACAGTGCACCAGGGTTCCCTTTCCTCCACTCCTTACTGATATTTATTATTTGCTGACTTTTGGGTCATAACATCTGATTTTGGTGTCCACACACTGATGGATTCAGTATAAACCACACACTTGTAGTAAAATAATTAGTGTTTGGAATGATGGATATGAATTCAGTTTACACAGGGATTTTTTCATAAAAATATATTTCTTATCTCTTCAGGTAACAACAGAGACTGTAAACTCATACCAGGGTCACTGGCACAAACAAGTGGTAACAGGACCATGTCAAAATGCACTGTCATCAGCTTGAAGGAAAGAAAAGTGAAGGCTCCTTGGGGCTGCGTTTGGAAAGGTAACAATTTATATTTTTCTTGGCTTCTTTAGCTGCTCTGCTGGTCATTGTGGACCTGCTGTAATGGTTTAATTATTTCCTTTGCCATTTGTATGCCACATATTTATGTGTCACCTAAGTCAATAGTAGCAATACAAATCTGAAGAAGGACACACAGCAGGAAGCAGTCACTGAGATCAATGTGAGCTACTTGAAGGTAATGTGATACATGTCAAAGGAAAGCATGAAGCCAGTGAGTCTTGACTTTTCAAAAACTGAAAATATGTCACTCAAGAATGGTCCTGGATGACGTTTTGGATCAGTGTTTCTCAACTCGGGTGACTAATCACCCCAGTTTGCCTGGTATAGTCAATGTTAGCATCAAAATTTCTGCATCTCGGGAGATCCCTCAGTCTTGCACAAATATGGATGACTGGTCACCCTGTTTTTAGCTATGGTTGCGCACTGAGATTGCCTGGACAGCTTGAAAAATACTCATGCCTGGGATGCAGCCCCAGAGATTCTGGTTTAATTGGTCCTGAGCAGTGCAGTTTTTAAAAGCTCCCTAATAGCTTTTAAGAACTAGAGGTTCTTAACTTTATCTTCACATTAGAGTCATGAAGACAAGGTTAAGAACTTGGAGTCTAGATAATATATGTTCATTAATTCACTTATTCATCTGTATATTCATTAATTTATTTATGCATTCAAAGATGTTGATTTCATGCCTTCTCATATGGCAGGCGTTATGCCAGCTTTGAGGACCAAGGTGAATAAGACAAAACCCTTTGTCTTGAGAACTTACATTCTAGAGCAGGAAAGAGGTCTGTAATTAAATATACCATTTTATGCAATCATTCATTTTTCTGCTCAACAGAAATTTACTGAATACCTTCTGTGCCAGGAACTGTTTTGTCATTAAATATCCAATAGTGAACAAGATAGCTAAGAGTACTCTTTTCACAGAGCTTATAACTTACTTCTATTTGTGGGAGAGTGGGATTCAGAAAATAAATGAATAAACAAACTAATAACAGGGCAGTTTCAAATTGTGTAAGTGCTACGGAGGAGCAGTGTCATTCCCGGGATATGTGGGACCTGTTCTATATAAACAATTTGAGTCACTCCAAATCAATATGGCAGCACCATTCTGGGTACCCAATCTTGCATGATCCCCTGACAGAAGTATTGCACCAGTCAGCTGGAGTGATTTGCCAGCCAGGCTGCCTTCCTGAAACCAGGACTGGACATGGAGCCATTGGTTAACCTCATAAACACAAGTCTGGGAGTTACTTGGGGCATCTGGTTGACCCCATGTGGGGAATAGATGGCTGGAAAATGCCCTGAAGTATTTAAATGTGTCTGGGGTCCGTGCAGGTCCCGGATTGGGCTCAGGGCACCCCACCCATGTAGTCTTGCAGCCATGACTGATGCCAGATCCCAGGTGGGCATGGGAGAAGGCCCTTTAAAGACCCAGTGTAAGGGTGATACTTCTAGGGCCCAGGGTGGTGGTGGAGAGCTCTGTTAGAATGAATAGACAGAAGGCCTTCTAGAGTAACATTTGAACCGAGACTTAAATGATTAGAAAAAGTCATCATGTGAAGAATTAGGGGGAAAGCCTTCCAGGAAGTGGAAACATCAGGTGCAAAGGCCCTGATGTGGGAATGAATACAAGTGGGTATAAGACATAAATATGTGGTTTTATTATTTCCTCTTTCTGCAGGATGTTAGGGAAGATTTAAGTGCATAAATAATGACCACACACGGTTTTTTAAGGGATTAGTTCACTAGTCAATTAGATAAAGAAAGATGTTTACCAAAGGAAACAGAGTATACAAATAGTGGGGGGATTAAATAACACAGTGAATTTGGGAAATTCATGGCAAGACATTGAAGATTCAATGCTTGGGGTATAGTGTGAGTTAGACGCAGAGAGAGATGAAGCTAAAACAGAAGGACTTATAAATGACGTGAAGGCATGGGGAAACCACTGGAAGAATTTTGTCTCAAACAATGCAGTCAGATTTATGCCTTAGAAAAATCACTTTGGCAGTAGTGTGAAGAAAGGATTGGAAGGGCATTGGAGGAGGAAGAGTTAGGAAAGTTTTACAATATTCTAGGAAAGAGTTAATGAGGACCCAAAGGAGCAGCTTGGATGGGGGGTGTTACTTAGGAAGCAAAATTGATAGCCTTGGGTGATTGGTGTAAAGTGGGGCACCAGAGAGAAAGAGAAATAAAAAAATCTCCTAGTCTCTAGTTTGAAAGCCTGGGTACATAATGACCAACTGAGTGAGATTGGCAGTGCAAGAACAAAACAAGCTTTGGGGGACAGCAACATTTCATTCTTGAATATATTGAGCTTAAAATGCCTGTGGTATATCGAGGTGAGAATGACCAGAGGCCCTTGGATATTGAGGTCTGGGGCGGGGAAGGGGTCAGGGATGGAGATAGAGAATTGGGAAATGTTAGCCTGAAGGTAACCAGAAAAAAGAGGGTAGAGGATGGGTAATTGAATAACATCAATATTTAAAAGGTATGAAAGTAAAGCAGATCTTTAGAAAAAAAATCACAGAAATCAGTCAGAGAGAAAGGAAGATAACCCAGAGATCATGGTGCCTTAAATTATAGGAACAGAGAATTTCAAGAAGGAGGGGTGGAGGTGTCAATAGAGCAAAAGCTGAAAAGAAGGCAAAACAAGCAATACTGTCCTCGCTTCTTTACCACTCTTCTCATTACCAGGCACCAGCTTATGTGTTCATTAGTTTATTATTTATATCCTTCTCCAGGATGTAAACCTTAACAGGCCAGGGATTCAGTCTACATTAGTCACTGCTGTATTTTTAGAGCCCCAAACAGTGATTGGCCCAAAATGGGTGTTCAGTAACTATTTGTTGAATGAAGGAATGAACCTAAAAGTGTGTGCTGGAATTGGCCATTAAGAAGTCTTTGATGAAGTTCGTGTGTACCTTCAGTAGAGTATGGGAGTAGAAACATGTCTGCAACCTCTTCCCTCAGGAGACTGTCATGTAAAAGGAATGGAGGTGGGATGGGATAAAGGGAGAGATATGACAAGTAAACAAATCACTGTATCAAAGAACAAAGTGGTAAGTGCCATGGACAAATAAAAAGTCCAGAGCACATCCTTGTCAGCTGAGTCACAGCCATCTGAGGAAGTAGAATTTCACTGAGTGGGGAAAGATGGTGGAGATTTAAACAAATGGAGTGTGTGGGCGACTGAATGGTTTCCCCGCCCCTCAAAGATGTTAGTGTCCTGATTTTAGGAACCAGTGAAGATGTTACTTGACATGGCAAATAATTGTGCAGATGTGATGAAGTTAGGGATTTTGAGAAAAGGAGATTATCCTAGATTATCTGGACAGCCCAATCCAATGACGGGGGATCAAAACAGTAGTAGGACACTGAGGGTCAAAGCAACAGGTTGGATTGATGCAAGGAAGAAGCCACGAGTCAAGAGATGCAGGCAGCCTCTGGAAGCTGAAAAAGGCAAGGAAGTGATTTTCCCCTGAAGCCGCTAGGAGGAAGGTAACTCTACGGACACCTTAATTTTAGACTTCCAGCTTCCAGAATTCTAAGAGAACCGATTTTCTTTGTTTCAAGCCACTAAGTTTACAGTAACTTGTTATGATAGCAATAGGAAACT